GGGATCATGACCTGAGCCGAAGGCAGACGCTTAACCATCTGAGCCACCCAGGCGCCCAACAATTTTTCTTTTTTTAAAGATTTTATTTACTTATTTGAGAGTGAGTTAGCGAGAGAGAGCACGAGCAGGATGGAGGAGCAGGGGGAGAGAGAGAAGCCGACTCCCTACTGAGCAGGGAGCCCGATGCAGAGCTCAACCCAGGACCCTGGGATCATGACCTGAGCCTAAGGCAGATGCTTAACTGACTAAGCCACCTAGGCGACCCCTTATTAAACAATTTCAATAATTTCTACCTAACTCTCAATTCTCTACTATAAAGAATATGTGGCAAATACTGGGGTGTCTGGGTGGCTCAGTCAGTTAAGCAACCAACTCTTGATTTTGGCTCTGTTCATGACCTCAGGGTCCTGGGATGAAGCCGTGTGGGGCTCCACACTCAGCAAGGAGTCTGCTTATCCCTCTCCCTCTGCTCCTTCCCCAGCTCATGCTCTCTCACTAACATAAATATATAAATAAAATCTTTAAAAAAAAGAAAAAAAGGATATGTGGCAAATATTCTCTGAAAGTAATCCTCAAAAGATAATTGTTCCTTATAAATAGGTCTTATTAACACTTGCTATCAAGTTTTTAAAAATTGTATTCATCAATCTTATTTTCTGTAGGAATTAAAGTAAGTCAATCCCTGGTAACAGAAAAAAGATTTATTTATAACTTGTTATAGGTAAGGTAAGATACTTTTTCAAAAAAGCTCTCTACAAGTTAAAAAAGCCCTACGAACTCTGTAAATCAGGAACTTTTCTCTTTTCCTTTATCTCCAATAAAACAAGCTCACACTGGAAGACAGTAATATAATATTTGACGTAATTTTTGTTAAAAGACTGTGAACTATTAAAAAAGAAGTGGGGGGGGTGGAGCCTGAAATTCTCAACTGTCTTATCTTCTCTCTTCATCCCTTTTTATCAACTACTATGCAACTTCTAGCCTTCTAGACTCCAACAGACATATTCAATGAAAACTTAAAAAAAGAAAGAAAAACTTTTAAGTTTGGAAAAAGTAGACAATATTCAGCAGCAGAGTTTCCCTCAATTTACAGCTTATTTTTCTTCAGACTAAATCTTGAACTGAAATGAAGTAAGCCTTACCACATGTTTTAAGATATTCCCATACTGTGCAAATTGTAATAATATATAGGAAGCAGATGCTTGAGGAAACCTGAAAAAAGAGTTGTCCAGTCAACTTTCATAATAAATACAAATGCAAATTACCATACTTGTGTTTCAAGATAAGTTTCCCATAACAGACAAGAATAATAGGAAATCCCTGATCATTGTTTCCCCCTATATCAGCTTAAATCTATCATTGCTTATCACCCAAATGCAAGTATATTAAAGTTAGTTTTGACTCAGCCATTCTTCTCCATCCCCAGATTCCATCTATGAAAACTCTAAAATTCCATTCTCACTGCCATTACCAAACCCTTAAGGAAAGAACTATGATGTTGCAGCTCTGTATATATTTTACAAGGGCATGTGAGCGTTTGTGTGTGTGTGTGTGTGTGTGTGTGTGTGTGTGAAATACTTAGATATACTACAGTTATTAAGGGGAAAAGAATTTTAAATTATATCCTCATATTATTATACATTGAGCACCAACTGAAAATTCAGAAATTTAGTTCTGAAACAAAAATGAAAAGTCAGTACCAATATCAATGGTATAGAAACATTTAAAAGGATGGTTACCAAGGTTTTAATAGCCAAAAATCTCTGAGAAAATTGTGATTATTTTCTTCTTAGAGTTCTGTATGGTTTAAATATTTTATCAGACATTATTTTTATAGTCCAAACAATAAAGTTATTTTAAATTGAAAATCTGGAGTTTCCTTAACAAGTAACGTCAGTTATCAAGAACCTGGATTAGAACCTAAGGGAAAAAAATCTGAGTCACAAAAATAAATGATAAAGTCCACATATTAAAATGTGTATGAGTAAAATATTGCATTCAGGACTGAAATTTTATTTTATGTTATATATGTTTGGATATAAGATTTGTAACCTCAAAGAAAAGCAACAAATAAAGCAAAGTGCCTACAAAGCAGAGTTGAAGAAAATAAAAATGAAAGAAAAATAATGGTTGCAAGTGAGGGAGGTACTTGAAAAATAAAATGTAATTCTGAGACTCTAGGGACCACTTTGAGTGGAAACATTCCATTATCCTGTAAAAGAACCCCTTAAAATAATGAATAACATATCATGATGACCCTAAATCAACAGGAAAAAGTTAAATTATCAAAGAAAGAACATACATATTTTAGATGTACTACCCTATAAATGATCAAAATTTTTTTTTAAAGATTTTATTTATTTATTTATTTTATTTGACAGAGGGAGACACAGCGAGAGAGGGAACACACGCGGGGGGGAGTGGGAGAGGGAGAAGCAGGCTTCCCGCTGAGCAGGGAGCCCGATGTGGGGCTCGATCCCCGGACCCTGGGATCATGACCTGAGCTGAAGGCAGACGCTTAACGACTGAGCCACCCAGGGGCCCAAAATGATCAAAATATTTTATCCCTTAGAAGAAAATGTTTCATTTCTTGCAACCAAACTCATATAGAGGGTTACTAAAACATAAAACCAACAGAAAATTAATAGGTGGGAAAGTGTATAGCTTAAAAATGAAGAAAAAGACTAGCAGAAGAACATCAAGTAATTTATCTAATTACTGAGGAATCTTAAAAGTGACACCATTACTACTGAGCCCCAAAACAGATTTGGGAGTAGACATCCAAGTTCAAAGGCATAGCCATGTCGTGAGAGAATATGAAAATTTAAACATAAAAAAGAAAAAAACAATCAAGCCATCCAATTGCTATGAATGGGCTTTCTGGAGAATAAGATGATCCCAATTTTTTACCTAAAGAGGATTAGAATCTCTCTGGAAGGTTACACAAAAAACAGGTGGCAAATACTGCCTTAAAGGGGAGAAAAACTGTAGCTGGAGACAAAGTAGGAAGGAAAAGTTTTCACTGGAGATTCCTATATATTCCTTTGAATTTTTAAATTTTAAATAAATTGAATATATAAAGTCCACTAACATTTACTGTGCATTGTTCTTCAAGAAGCTCACTTTTTACCCCAAAACTAAATATAGTAAGACCAAACATCAGTATGACGTATCACACTTTCAGAAGCAAACCTTATGTAGTACAGTATGAACAGCTTAAAAATCAAAGGACCTAAGGTTTTTTGCTGACACTTTACTAATAACTAGATGTTAAACCTCTGAATAAATCACTTAATCTAAAACCTCAGTTTTCTCATCTGCAGATGATGCAATATGATCTCCAAAATGCTTTAAAGTACTTTTTTTAATCTAAAAATCTATTCAAAATGTATCTAGGGCATGTACAATTTCTATTAATACTCAGTATCCTGTAACTATAAAGTACCAACCTTGTGACACAGTATGTACATATACAAATGAAATTCAATTTGATAGTTCCAAACTGGTTAAGTCCAATATAAGCAGAGTAATACGGGCAACTGGGTGGCTTAGTCGGTTAAGCATCTGCCTTCAACTCAGGTCATGATCCCAGAATCCTGAGATCGAGTCCCACATTGGGCTCCCTGCTCAGTGGGGAATCTGCTTCTCCCTCTGCTCCTCCCCGTGCTCGTGCTCAATCTCTCTCTCAAATTAAAAAAAAAAAAAGGCAGAGTAATAACCACTACAAAGAAAGGAGATTCCTAAGTCTAAAGAGGCAATGCTGTTCCATTATCCAGCAAATACGCTTAAGAGAAAAGAATATGAGAAGTGGCAAACAGATAAACGATTAAAAAAAAAAACTATATACAAATACTGAACACTAGTTAATAATGTGCATGCTGGGGGCACCTGGGAGGCTCAGTCGGTTAAGTGTCTGACTCTTGATTTCAGCTCAGGTCATGATCTAAGGGTTGTGAGATGGAGCCTCACGTAGGGCTCTGCGATGAGCATTGAGCCTACTTAAGATTCTCTTTCCCCTTTCCCCTACCCCTCCCTCTCTAAAAAAATAAATTAAATTAAATTAAATAAATATACATTCTGAAGTGTCAGGGTGATTGATTTGTAGTGATGTGTGCAACTTACTCTGAAATGTACCAACAAAAAAAGATGAATTAATGGAAGATAAAATGAATGTAAGTAAAATATTAACAACTGTAGAAGCCAGTTGGTAGGTATATGAGCATTTGTTGTGCAATCCTTTTTTTTTTTTTGGTATGTTTGTTATTATAAATGCTGGGGATGGGTTTTTTTTTTTTTTTGGGAAAGGTAAATGATTCAGAAACCTTACCCGAACACAGTCACCCAAGTGTCATCGAGATGATCTTCAGAAGTCAGAGAATCTCCTTGAGTATAAAAAGGATCCAACTGTGCAGGAGATAATGTTGTCTTTCGTGGTTGACCAATGTTTGCTGGACTAAACATACTTTGCCCTAGATTAGTATATTTAGTAAGTTAGTTACCAATACAAACATCTTGGTTTATTTTAAATCAAAGCTCTCAGTTTTAAATGAAAAAAATACATTAAAAGCTGGCAACTGCAAACATAGTTCAAAACATACAACAGTAATCAAATGATAATTTCATACTACCATACAATTTCAGAGCTCATTAATAATTGAGCATAACTTATGATTTTGCAAAAGTTTTGTTATTATAAATTTGCTAATGTTTTAATTTCCAGTTCAGCCTACAGCAGAAGGATTTCCAATCAACCTCAAGGACTTCCATTTGGATTCATCTTCCAAACCTACCACTTTCATCACAGCACCTCTGCCTTAAAAATATGCAGTAACTCATTACCTACAGAAAAATCCAAATGCCTTGGCGTCCACAATATAGTTCCAACCTTATTTTTTCAATATTCCCCTAAAATGTATCTACCCTAGCTCCTGAGATGTAAATGCAGTTTTCTTTTATTCAGGTCATTTCTATCTGAAATGTCTAATTCTGTTCTTTCTTTGCTTATCCTTCAATAACAGCTACCAATTAGTGAGTACTGTTACATGTCCAAAATGCCAAGCTAAATGCTTTACATGTTCATTTTATTTCAAAGGCACTGTCTTACTGAGACCACACATTTCTGAGAAGCAGAGATTATTCTTTCATCTTCGGAGTAGTAATAATAATGATTCACTCAAACAAAAAATATTTTTTAGCACTTAAATATGCACCAAGCAGGGGTACCTGGGTGGCTCAGTTGGTTAACCATCCGACTTTTGATTTCGGCTTAGGTCATGATCTCAGGGTGGTGAGATAGAACCCCATGTCGGGCTCCATGGTGGGCACGGAACCTGCTTGGGATTCTCTTTCCCTATCCCTCAGTCCCTCCCCATCCTAGCTCATGCTCTCTTAAAAAAAAAAAAAAAAATGCACTAAGCATATTCTAGGTATTGAAGATACAGTAGTGAACAAGTTAGACCAAAAAACAAAAACAAAACAAAAAAAACCAAAACCCACCTATCTCTAATGGAACTTAAATTCTAGTGGAAGAGAGACAAGTAAATAAAGTATGTTAGAAAACAGAAACTCCCACAGAAAAATAAATAAATAAAGCAGAGAAGGGAGAGAGGAAGAGTGTATATATCATACATCAAAGGGTTAAATGAAAAAAAGATTTCACTGAGGTGCCATTAAGCCAAAAACCAAAATCCCAATGGAATTGGAGGACAAAACATGCCAATATCTGAAGTAAATGTTACCTGGAGAAAACAATCATGTACAAAGGCTGTGTGAAAAGATATGACTGGTGTTTGATGAACAGTAAGAAAACCAGTACTTGCACAGTGAGGAGGGGCACTTGAGGTCAAAACAAGTGTATGAACACAGAGGCCACAAGAAGTCAGAGGAAGAAAACGACCCTTTGTAACCCACTGTAAATAAAGCCTCTGGCTTTTACCTCAAATGAGTTGGGAAGCCAATGGAAAACTGAGAGCAAAAGTGACATAACAGGACAAAAATCTTGAAATAATAATGAACAGCAGCATTTTACTGAGTATTTATTGTACCATTTTTTACATGTACAATTTTATTTGATTCTAACAATCTAGGCAATCCAAATTCAAAGTGTGAGCTCTCAGGAAGTAATGTAGTTAACACTTGTATTTACTACGGGAGCAGTTCTACAAGTGTGCACTGGAGACCCAGAGCTCCCGATGACCCCTCTCATGGGATCAAAATTATTTTCATAGTCATTTTAAAGTCAACTTTACACTCTCTCTCTTTCATGAGTATACAGTGGACCTTTCCAGAGGATACTTAATGTGATTCAATACAGAATTGAATATAGAGATTGAATATAGAAGTAGACAGGAGAATTCAGCTATTTCTTAAGCCAGACCTTAAAATTTGAAAAACACAAAGCAATGTCACTCTTCTCATGGGAATCTTTTCTTATAGAAAGTTATTTTTTACTTTAAAAAAAGGTTACTTATGTTTACATGAAACAAATTACTCTTAAATGAATACATGCTGCAAAATATTATTTTAATTTCTAATGTAGTAAATATCAATAGCTATAATCCAAAAGCTCCTTGGGCTTCAATTTTTAAGAGTGTATTAAGGACCCGAGGTGCCTGAGTGGCTCAGTCAGCTGAGTGTCTGACTCTTGATTTCAGCTCAGGTCATGATCTCAGGGTGTTGAGATTGAGCCCTGAGTCAGGATCTGGGCTCAGCGAGGAGTCTGCTTGAGGATTCTCTCTCTCCCTCTGCCCCTCTTCCCACGCTCTCTCTCTCTAAAACAATAAATAAATATCTTACTAAAAAAAAAAAAAAAGAGTATTAAGGACTCTGAAACTAAGAAGTCTGAGAACAACTACAGGGCCTTATACATAATTCACAATCCATGTTTACTGATTTCTGGAAGCTCTCTGCTCAATACATTTTTTTTTATTTTTTTTTAAAGATTTTATTTATTTATCCGAAAGACAGAGAGAGAGAGAGAGAGAGATCACAAGCAGGGCGGAGAGGTAGAGGGAGAAGCAGACTCCCCACCAAGTAGGGAGCCCGGGACTGGATCCCAGGACCCTGGGATCATGACCTGAGCTGAAGGCAGATGGTTAACTGACTGAGCCACCCAGGTGCCCCTGCTCAATACATTCTATGTGTCTGCTGTATCTGCTGCCTAGTCATTTGTCCTGAATTCCCAATTGAGTTGAAAATCAACCTAAATCATTTCAAAGTGTTTGTAGTCAAATGGAGCTCTGAAAGTATGCTCTTAAAAAAATAAATAAAAGCGGGGGGGGGGGACAAAGCTACTGTGTTAAGTTTTATAAAAGGCCATATACTATATATATTACCCTGATGGGAGATTTACAATTCACATAAAAAACTCTGAAAGATTATTGAATAAAGCAATATTTTTAACTTTATTCAACCCCAAATCTCCTATAATGCCATTTTACCTTCATAAAACATGTATTTTGATAAATGCTGATCTTGGGTTGAGTATATCCTATATACCATAAAAATGCTTGATTAACGAAAGAATTTACAGGAACTGCTATAAGGAAATGAATAATAAAGCTATTCAAGGGTGCCTGGGTGGCTCAGTTGGTTAAGCGACTGCCTTTGGCTCAGGTCACGATCCTGGAGTCCCAGGATCGAGTCCTGCATCAGGCGGGCTCCCTGCTCAGTAGGGAGTCTGCTTCTCCCTCTGACCTTCCTCCCTCTCATGCTCTCTACCATTCTCTCTCTCTCTCAATAAATAAATAAAAATCTTAAAAAAAAAATAAAGCTATTCAAATCCAAAGCTGAGATGCAAAAGGGTAACTGAGTTTTCCTATTCATTAATTTCCTATTTATGAATACAAAATGATTTTCTCAGAACCATACAGAAAAAGTTCTCTTACCAAACATATTCAATGACCAGTCAGAGTGACACACTGTTATAGTACTGGAGACTGAAGTTACTCTCCAGCTATAACACTCAAAAGGTCAAACTAAATTTTAAAAATAATCCTAAACAGCCCTCCAAATTTTATTTTGGGACATTATTACTTTATTTTAGATCCTCATGTTCCAACTGCTAGTGAATTACAAAATAAATAAATAAATAAAAGTATCTTTAATGTATGGGGGAAAAAGGAAGTACAATATCTTGCTTTTTTGGAAGGCAATATGTGATTGTGTTAGGAGCCCAGAACAGGATTGGATCGGATAGCAGAAGGCTAGTGTTGCTAGCCCTGGACTAATCATTAACCTTGGTAGACAGCATTATGGGAAGATGAGAGGGAAGACAGTAAATGGGTGTGTAGTTAGTTCACATGGAGTTCTATTACTTATTGTCACAACTAGAACAAGTTATTGAACCTCACTTCCTAAATATTACAACAAAAATAAAAACAAAAACAATAACAGCAATCCCACTTATGGGTACATATCCAGAGAAAATGGAAACAGGATCTCAAAATGATATCTGCACTCCCATGTTCCTTGAAGCATTACTCACAATAGCCAAGATATAGAAACAATCAAAGTGTCCCTCAGTGGATGAATGGATAAAGAAGGGGTGATACATATATGTCATGGCTGTTTTTCAGCCACAAGAAGGGGGAAATCCTGCCATTTGCAAAACAAGGATAGACCCTGAGGGCATGATGTGCATGCTGTTAAGTGAAAGAAGTCAGACAAAGAAAAGACAAATACTGTATGATCTCACTTTTATGTGGAATGTAAAAAGCCCAACTCAGAGTAAGAGAGTAGTGGTTACTATGGCACAGGGGCTGCAGAATATGGGGAGATGTTAGTCAAAGGGTACAAATTTATTCATAATATGAATAAGTTCTTGGGAGGTAAAGAACACCATGGTGATTACTGTTAATAATACAGTATTATATAATTGAAAAAGCTTACACCACAGTCATTCTGTAATATATGTATGTCAAATGAACACACTGTATTCCTTAAACTTAAACAATGTTTTATGTCAACCCTATCTGGAACTTGTAATAAATGTTTCCCTTAGTTATTATATCCCTAAGAATTAACTGTTAGTCCAATAATCAAATGGAACAGTGGTAGATAAGAACTCACAAAAGTTAACTGTTTTAACAATATAGAACTTCAATATAAATGATGTACTTGGTACAATTATTCTTTTACACTGAAGGCACAAATATATTGAGTCAAGTCTAAAAGACTTCCACAAATGATGTCCAACTCTTGCCTCCAGATGGTACCAAACCAAAACTATACCCTCAACAGGATCAAAAGTTAAAGGTACCAATTAAGTAAAAACTATTAATGCAACCATGTGATTCTAACTAAAGAGAAAAAAAATGTGGTCACCTAAAGATTTGAAAATTCTTAATTTGTATGCTATACAACTTGAATCCATATACTTCATTTGGACTCAAATTTAGAAACCCACAATTAATCTAATTTAACCTAGTAACACAGGCTTTCTTTCAGAAAAAAAAATGTTTCAGATCAC